ATACTGTCCTTCTTTACAGACCTGAAACTTGCCTACAGCACTTATTCATTGTTGCTCTTATAGTTGAGTAAGTTGTTGTTTCCTTGTCCTCATTTGTAAGTCGCTTTGGATAAAAGCATCTGCTAATTGACTAAATGTAAATGATAGAAATCACTCGCTCTGGACGATTTGCAGGATGCTAAAGCAGGTTTTATATATTTGATTGTACTATTTGAATTGAATTGAATTGAATTGAATTGAATTTTATTATTCTGATTATTATTATTAATACTATTATTATGTACTTTTCATACAAATTGAAATAAACCAACTTTACTTGTGCTTCAGCCTGCACTGACTCTCGAGCTTATATGGGGAAGAGAGGAACAATCCGGCAATTATCAAGAAAAAAGACTCTAAAATAATGAATATTTATTTACAACAGTGATAAAGAAATCTGTAAACTCATGCTGTCTGACACGGAATCTGAGTAACTCACTGTAGATCAGTGGTGAATCTGGATCCTGCAGAGATTAACTCACATCATGTGTGTGTGTGTGTGTGTGTGTGTGTGTGTGTGTGTGTGTGTGTGTGTGTGTGTGTGTGTGTGTGTGTGTGTGTGTGTGAGACTGTGTGAGAGAAAGAGCGAGTAAGTCACACAGGAGATTACACGCCTTTACAAAACTACCAATATGGTTCATTCAAACGATTCATCCGCACACGACTCACGGTAGTTCAGCAGTTCGGTGTTTTACGGTGATCCGCTCGGGAAAAGTAAACTGGAGTCTGTCCTCTGCGCATGCGCAAAGCGAGAATAGCATTCTTTCGGTCGGAGGAACTCCAGCAGATTGTTTCTGTTCGGGGCTCCGGGGTCGCTTTCGGGTTTATAGAAACTTTTCTCATGAAGTCACAACCAGAGAGAGGAGAGGGCTTGATCGTGTCGTGAGACTCGTTAGAATGGAATAAAAGAAGAAAGAAACAGAGTTTGAGCGACATTCCGTTTCTGGAGGAGGAAGAGGAGGAGGTAAAACACACTCGCCTTTCTGTAAACTACAGTTGTGTTTTCATCAGAGCTGTTTATAACAGCTAAACACAGAACAGAAGACAGTCATCAAAACAGCGCATATCCTACAAAAGCCAGCCCGTCGAGGCTCGTGAACAGTGTGAACAGTGTTGTCAGTGTTGTCTGTGCTGCTGTGTTTTGTGTTCTGCTGTTTCTCTCCTGCGCGGATCATGGAAGAGTTTCCCGGAAACTAAATAAATGCCACTGTTTGTGTGTGTGTGTGTGTGTGTGTGTGTGTGTGTGTGTGTGTGTGTGTGTGTGTGTGTGTGTGTGTGTGTGTGTGTGTGTGTGTGTGTGTGTGTGTGTGTGTGTCCACTTCCGGCCTCAGTGCAGTGTAGAGAGGATGTTTGTGTGTGTTTCAGGTTTCTGTCATGATGAACTTTCAGCAACAGTAAGTCTGAATTAAACTGAACTGAATCAGTTTCCCGGACTCGAGGACACATTTCCCAACACTCAGGTGACCTCTGCAGAACTCTTGACCCAGTGAGCACTGCTGAAGTCTCTGGGCTAAACGGATGACCAGTTCTCATTGATTTGGCACAAAAAAATGTATTCATGACTACATCTGCCAAAATCTGCCCAAAACTCTGTACATACAGGACATTTAACAGGTGCTCACACACTGTTCTCAGAACTGCTCAACTTCTGCTCAAAACAAGAAGATCACGCAGAAGTGAAGAAGACAGAAATACTTCACTGACGCACACTTCACATCTACACATGCAGTTTACCCCGCCAGATCAGCATGACTACTGTCTCTGCATCAGGGGGTGTGTGTAGACAAACCACACAACGACAAACCAGCTATTCTGGAATAACTCAGTGCAAAACAACAAAAATAAATACATGAATAAATCAATAAAGGACATGAAATATTGAGGAGTTCTGCATCATGTCTGATCATCCAGTAACACACACTGCAGTTATAGACAGAGACGTGTGTCTGTTCACACAGGAAAACACTGTACTGCTGCATGCTGTCAGTGTTAAGCTCATTGTTTTGTGTGTGTGTGTGTGTGTGTGTGTGTGTGTGTGTGTGTGTTTGTTTGCAGGTTTACGGTTAACTCTGCGCTCCTGAAGCTGATCTCAGTCCAGTTGTGATGGCGCTGCTGCTGTGTCTGTGTGTCCTCCTGCTGCTGGAGTCCTGTGTGAGCCACACTCTGTTCACCTGTGAGCCTGTGCAGGTGCAGTGGTGTCTCGACATGCCCTACAACACAACCTTCTTCCCCAACATGCTGGAGCACTACGACCAGGACATCGCTGCCGTCAGGATGAAGGTGTGTGAGCCTTATATCAGGACTCATCTCACACACACACACACACACCTTCAGTAGAGCAGTGGATGGCTTTGTGCTTTCCTTATTTGGTCTGTTTCCTCTGAGTGGTGTGGTGCGGTACGGGTCCGTACAGGTCACCTTCATCAGGCTTGTGTCTCCACTGCTGAATGCTCTCCTTTTGATGTGTGTGTGATGTAGGACAGGTTCAGTGGCCGTGATTCTCTCTGGAGGAAATGTGTAGAGTACAGCTGTACGGGTCGCTCACACATCATATGAGCAGCTCTTCACACACACACAGACGCTTTACACACATCAGCACTATATAATTTTCATCACTAACCTTACATCAACATGATCATATCTGCAGATCAGTGATGACAGCCTACTGTAACGTCTGCAGTTATACAATAAAAAAATAAACACACACCATTACAGTCCCCGATATGATACCAATTACAGATAAACTACACACAGCAGACATTTAGTCCTTATTTGTGTTCAAAAACAGCAGGAGATACAGGCCAGAGTCAGAGCAAAGCATCCTGTGTGTGTGTGCGTGCGTGCGTGCGTGTGTGTGTGTGTGTGTGTGTGTGTGTGATGTTCAGCAGCACATGGAGCCTCTGTTAGAGTCACTCCGTCATTCAGCTCAGAGTAGTCCAGCAGCTGATGATCAGAGCTCCTCATGTGTTCATCTGTAGCGGCTGACAGAGTCATTCACTGCTTTGTTTTGTTCACTCTCATGTTTGTCTGTTTCTAAAGGATGTCTGAAGCTCTTCAATAGTCATGCGCACGATATCATCATCAGCTCAACAAGCTCCTTATTTCTAATAAAGAACTGAGCTCGGGTCGATCATGCTCGTTATTATCTGTATACATTATTACGCTGTAATGTCTCGCTGTGTGTTTAATAATGGCGCTTCCTTTGTGTTCATTCTCCTGCCTGTGCACGAGTGAGTGACGTATCTGAGTGATAGCGTTCAGCTGTGCGTCTCGATCCGCTTCTGGTACCCTTTTATTATGCTCGGTTCTCTTCCAAAAGGGTCCACAAAAACTGGTGTGGTACAGTCCGTTTCGCTTTTAGATACATTTTGACAGTGGAAACCATAAGAGCGTACCGAACTGAACTGAACCGAACCGAACCGAAACGAACTGAACTGAACCGAACTGAACCGAACCGCACCACTCGGGAAACGGGCTGTTAGATTCACCCTGATCGTGTGGATAAACTACATGAGCGTAGAAGAGCCTCGAGTCATTTTCTACATTCAGACTATGTGTATGTGTCGTATGACATGGAGAATACTGACAGCAGATCAGCTCAACAGCTCAGTTTCATCCAGAGCACATTCCTGCAGCGGCGGCGGCGGCGGCTCCTCTGAAGATCTGCTGGAGCTGCGGTGTCAGATACTGATGCAGAAACCCTGAGCTCTATTATTACAGCACACAATGAAACCAGAGCGCAGGAAGGAAGGAAACCTGGAGGGGGGAGAGCAACACACACACACACACCCACACACACACACACACACAGACACACACACACACACACACACACAGACGAACACACACGCACACACACACACACAGACGAACACACATGCA